CATACATTTAAACAGCTAATCTTAAAAAATATTCCTACCATTTATCATGATCAAATTCAACAATGTTTAGCATGTATTCAATTGTTAAAATGTGTTCAACGACTTGCTAATTTATGGTGTCATTTTTTTCAATTGAAAATTGAAGAAGATTATTGGAATTATTTAGACAATTTACATCTACTTGTCATAGTTTGGTTATCCGAAGATGTATCAAAAGAAATAATTCAACAAAATTCTATCGATTGGGATTCTAGGAGAACAAAAACGAATATTCGACATCAAAAAACATTAATTCAAAACAAATTACAACGAACGGAATATAATTTGTCGAAGCATCAATCTCAACTTTCATCCAAGTTCAACCTACAAAATGAAATATATGTGAAGAATTCGATCGACATCGTATTTAAAACGTTTGCTATTATTCTAAGAAATGATTTGAATCCTTTCCATGTACATTTTGAACAGAAGAAGCTCTTGTTACACTTTAATTTTCATGATGCATATCTAGTCAAATCATTCTATGATTTAAATCCAACTGAAAAACAAGTTCGTATTTCATTCACTTCGATCACTTGTTCTATGTAAAATATTTCTTTTTTTTTCTATTCAAGATTCATCTTGTTCAACAAATTTGGCAAACAAAATTAAATTCATGTGAACGATTTCTCCGTGAAAAAACGAAAACAATTTTTCCTGATAACAATCCAATAGTCAATATGAATCTATTCTCCGTCGATGATTTTGTTCCTGTCATGTTTGCCATTATTGAAGCACGTCTCGTCACTATCGAACAACGTACACAAGTCATCATGGAATTTATCAATACTCCTTCTCAATAATAAAAGAATACTTTTTATCATATATACATAAATATCTGATAGGAATGTTTATTTTATGCATCTTATCACCCAAAATCCTTGAAATAATTCATATGTTCATTTGCTTGTTGAATTCATTTCTTTTTTGTTTCAGATATAAATCTTCGTCTTTCTATTAACGATGGCAACAAAGAATACAAATTCATACATTCAAGAAGAAGACGAAGAAGAACAGGTAATAATGAAATTTTCTTATCCTATGGTCTTTTTTTTCTCAAACAAGTATTTTACATTTTTATTATAGGGTGAAACTTTGCAACATTTCGATAAAATGTCAAGTGATCTTCCATGGAATATTAAAGAGAAAAGTAAAGTCGAAGAAAAATTGGATGTAAGTCTTGAATAAATTTAAATCGATTATATTTCTACCTTATATGTTTAATTTCTAGGAAATAGAAGAACAAAATAGATCTGAAAAAATGAGTCAATTATCAACTAGTACAACAACTGAAAAAGATCCTATCAGAATAGTGAAAGAAATCAATGATCAATTAGAAATAATTCCAAATTATTTAACAAAACAAAATATAGCTTTCAAAAAGTTGATATATCAAGCATTATCATCGATAACAACAACAACAACAGAAAAATTAAATAGCGATACGAATGAATTAAGAAAAATAGCCATTTTAATTTATAAAATTATGGTTATTCAAACTTATCAATATCTATGGAAAATTTATTTCAAATCTGGTACAGGACAATTGATTATTCCATATGAAACAAAACAAAGGCTATCCTATCCGACAACTTTATCAATATGGCCGAAAGAAATAAAAGCTATTGTATTATCAAACAAGAAAGATGCAACAAATGAAAATGAAATTTGTTTAAAATTTACCGATGATCATTTATATGCACTGCAACATCAATTAAAACAATATCAACAAGAATTGAATATTAAAGCAAATAATTTTCAAGGTTATACATTGTCAATTCAAGAAAAGCTTATGACATATATTGAAGAAAATCTTAATTCTTCGTTAAGTAAAAAAATTGATCATCAAGTAGAATTGATTCATTATGATTATCATATTAGAGCATTGAAATTAGAATACTTTCAACATAAACCAAATGAATATCAAGTATGTTTTTTTTTGAAAAAAAGATACATAATGCTTCTTTTAATCTAATTGAAAACATTTCTAGAGACAACTAATGAAACAAATTTGTGAAAGTAAATATGAACAAGAAACATCAGAACAAGAATATGAATTTTTAAAACAACAAATTGCCTATTACAATTTACCAAGTCAATCATTTGAATCATCAACAATAGCTCATCATCCGTTCATTGATTCTATTCAAAATTTAACCGTTCGAGAAGCATTAAAGAAGCAATTCAAAGAAGTTGCTATACAATCGAGAAATGCTGTATTTAATATGTATCTGAAATCAGCTGAAGATCAACGAGAAGAATATAAAAAGAAACATGAACTTAACATAAAGAAAATAGATGCATCTCAACACACATTGAATCAAAATGAAAAGTTATCTTCAACATTCGTACAACTTATCAATGAACGTTGTAACAAAATTAGTGAACGTATTCAATGCATTTATAAATATAAACGTCAATGTTTCCAATCGAAATCAAATTAATAATTCTTTAATGAAATAAAACATTTTCCATTATTGTCATTTTTTTTATCATCTATTTACTAGCTAGTTATAATAATATCTCGTTTTTTCTTCTTTCCTCTTTAGATTTACTTGTTAGCTTGTTTCTGTTGATCATTATTTCGAATATGGATGTGAACATGACTACTGTTCAAAATTATCCTTTAGTTCAAAATCAAAGAAAAAAGAAAAAATGTCATGGTAATCGAAAAGATCAACGTTTTCGAAGAAAGTGTCGTGCAAAAGGTATGAAATCAAGAAAAATCGAAAAACTACTCCTTCGACGTAAGCTAATTCATGATAAAAAAAAGAATCCAATTGATAATCCAATGAAAAATCCAATAAACTCCAACAATAAACCAGATCATGAAAATGTTTCATCGACTGAAATAAATTCAACGAGGAATCTTACGAAACGTAAAAGAGATATATCAGTGCAAGATATTAAATCAAATACAAGAATACCAAAATCAACAAGTTCAATATCAGTTCTACAACCAAAATTAAAGAAGATGAAACGAAGAATTAAATTAAATATTCCAACGACGACGACTATCATGAACAATACTGCTTATAAATATTACCGGTCAGTATCTTTATATTGAAGTTTAATAAAATTATAGTTAA